GGAGGCCGCTGAGGCCTCGCCCGGGGGCGGCCGGGGCAGGCCCGGGGCCAAACGCGTCACGTTCCCCTCAGACGAGGACATCGTGTCCGGGGCCGTGGAGCCCAAGGACCCCTGGAGACACGGTGAGGGCAACGGGGGAAGGGACCGGGGAGAGGGACCGGGGAAAAGGACCGGGGAAAGGGACCGGGGGGACACGGTGAGGGACCCCTGGAGACACGGTGAGGGCAACGGGGGAAGGGACCGGGGAGAGGGACCGGGGAGAGGGACCGGGGAAAGGGACCGGGAAAGGGACCGGGGAAAGGGACCGGGAAAGGGACCGGGAAAGGGACCGGGAAAGGGACCGGGGAGAGGGACCGGAGAAAGGGACCGGGAAAGGGACCGGGAAAGGGACCGGGAAAGGACCGGGGAAAGGGACCGGAGAAAGGGACCGGGGGGACACGGTGAGGGACCCCTGGAGACGCGGTGAGGGCAACGGGGAAAGGGACCGGGGACACGGGGAGGGAACGGGGGACGGGGAGGGAAAGGGACCGGGGGGAAGAGACCGGGACACGGGGAGGGAACGGGAAAAGGACCGGGGAAAGGGACCGGGACACGGTGAGGGCAACGGGGGACGGGGAGGGACCGGGGAAAGGACCGGGAAAGGGAGCGGGGACCCGGGAAGGGACCGGGGAAGGGACCGGGGACCCGGTGAGGGCAGCGGGGAAGGGACCGGGAAAGGGACCGGGGACCCGGGAAGGGACCGGGGAAAGGGACCGGGAAAGGGAGCGGGGACCCGGTGAGGGCAGCGGGGAAGGGACCGGGGAAAGGACCGGGGGAAAGGGACCGGAGGGAAGGGACCGGGGACCCGGGAAGGGACCGGGGGAAGGGGCTGAGGGAGCGGGGGGAGAGGGGGTCGGAACGGAACCGGGCCTGCATTGCTCCAAAATATCCCAAAATAACCCCAAAAGCGACCAAAAACCGGGCCTGGAGTGCTCCAAAATAACCCCAAAATAACCCCAAAATAAACCCAAAATAACGCCAGAATAACCCCAAAATAACCCCAAAATAACCCCAAAATAACCCCAAAATAACCCCAAAATAACCCCAAAATAACCCCAAAATAACCCCAAAATAACCCCAAAATAACCCCAAAATAACCCCAAAATAACCCCAAAATAACCCCAAAATAACCCCAAAATAACCCCAAAATAACCCCAAAATAACCCCAAAATAACCCCAAAATAACCCCAAAATAACCCCAAAATAACCCCAAAACCGGGCCTGGAGTGTTCCAAAACATCCCCTAAAACTGGCTCGGAATATTCCCAAATATCCCCCAAATATTCCCCCTTTTCCCGCCCCTTTTCCCATTTTTTTCCCCCTTTTTCCCACTGCTTTCCCATCCCATTTTCCCCATTTTTTCCCCATTTTCCCCATCCCAACCCCCCCCAAATCCCTCTGGCTCCCTCCCCTCCCCCTCCCCTCCCGTTTTCCCGGCTGATCCCGGATTTTTCCCGGATTTTTCCGGGATTTTTCCCGGACTTTTCCCGGATTTTCCAGCCCAGAACGTGACTGTGGATGAGATCCTGGCCGCTTACCGCCAGGCCTGCCAGAAGCTCAACTGCCGCCAGATTCCCAAACTCCTCAAGCAGATCCAGGTAATTCCCGGCATTCCCAAAATCCCGGGATTCCCTGGGAAAAAGTTCCCGCCTTTCCAGCACAAAAAAAATCCCGGTTTTTCCATCGTAAAAATCCCGGTTTTCCCGCATTTTCAACCCGAAAAATCCCGTTTTTCCTGTTTTTCCAGTCCTAAAAAAATCCCACTTTTTCCACCCAAAAATTCCCGTTTTTCCCACTTTTCCAGCTCCCAAAATCCCACTTTTCCCACCCAAAAATTCCCGTTTTTCCCACTTTTCCAGCCCCCAAAATCCCACTTTTCCCACCCAAAAATTCCCGTTTTTCCCGCTTTTCCAGCCCCCAAAATCCCACTTTTCCCGGGAAAACAGGGAGCAGACTTTGGGATCAACCCCAATCCAGTTTTTTTTCCATGGGAAAATTCCCAGTTTTTCCCCCTCCCCCCACAACTTTTCCCGGATTTGGGGGATTTTGGGGATTTCTCCTCACGAAAATTCCCGTTTTCCCGCTTTTCCCAGGAAAGATTTGGGCTCAATCCCGGATTTTTCCCCGTCCACCTTTGGCTTTTCCGTGGGATTTTTCCCCTCTGGAGAAATTCCCAATTTTCCCTCGCAGAAAATTTGGGGAATTTTTTGGGAATTTCTCATCCAAAACTCCCGAATTTTTTCCCGTTTTTTTCCATTTTTCCCTCGTGTTTTGCTCCAGAAATTCCCGGGATTTTCCATCCTCCCTTTCCAAGCTGAGAATTCCCGAATTTTCCTCGTTTTTTCCCCCAAGTTTTCCCCCCTCAATTCCCCTTTCCCAGGTTGGAAAATTCCCGGTTTTTTTGTGTTTTCCAGGAATTCAAGGATCTGGCTCCCAGGATCGACTGCTTGGATCTCAAGGGTGAGTCCCTTTTCCCGACTTTTCCCAACTTTTCCCGGAGTTTTTCCCAGTTTTTTTCCGGCCCTTTTGGGTCTCGCTCTTCCCGAGGGAATTCCCGGCTGGGAATGCAGCAAAATTTGGGAATTCCTCGGTTTTTATCCGGCCAAATTCTTCGGGAAGCGTTCCCGGATCCGAGGCGGGAATTCCTCGGGAAATTTTTGGGATTTTCTCGGGAATTTTTTGGGGATTTTCCCGGGAACTTCTGGAGAATTTCCCAGGAATTTCTTGGGAATTTCTGGGGAATTTCTCAGGAGTTCCTCAGGAATTTCTCTGGAATTTTCCAGGAATTCTCCAGGAATTTCTCAGGACTTTCTCAGGAATTTTTTGGATTTTCTCAGGAATTTCTCAGGAATTTCTCAGGAATTCTCCAGGAATTTCCCAAGATTTTCTGGGGATTTTCCCAGGAATTTCTCAGGATTTTCTCAGGAGTTCCTCAGGAATTTGTCAGGAATTTGTCAGGAATTCTCCAGGAATTTCCCGGGATTTTCCAGGGAATTCCTGAGGAATTTTTTGGGGGCGATTTTCCCGGGATTTTCTGGGCAATTTCCCCAGGAATTTCCATGGGAATTTCCCGGGGTTTTCCCGGCCGTTCCCGGTTCCCATTCCCGGAATTCCGGGCTGTGTTTTCCAGGGGAAAAGTTGGATTATCGCTCCTGCGAGGCCATGGAGGAAATCTTCAAACGCCTCCAGTTCCGGCTCCTCGACCTGGAGCAGACCAGCCTGGACGAGGACGTGAGTGCATTCCCGGGAATCCTCGGAATTCCCAGAAATCCCCGGAAATCCCCGGCCCTTCCCGGGATTTTTTCCAGGGGTTTTCCGGCTTTTTCTGGGACTTTCCCGGATTTTTTCAGGATTTTCTGGGGGTTTTCCTGGGGTTTTTCTGGGGATTTTTCCAGGGATTTTCTGGGATTTTTTCCCGGGTTTCTCAGGGATATTCCCGGGATTTTCCCACTGCTTTTCCCACTGTTTTTCCTGTTGTTTTCCTGCTGTTTTTCCCGCTGTTGTTTTCCAGTTGTTTTTCCAGCTGTTTTCCTGCCTTTTTTCCCACTTTTCCCGTTGTTTTTCCGGCTGTTTTTCCCGTTTTTCCCACTTTCCCGTTGTTTTTCCGGCTGTTTTCCGGCGGTTTTTCCGGCTGTTTTTCCGGCTGTTTTTCCCACTTTCCTATTGTTTTTCCAGCTGTTTTCCAGCTGTTTTCCGGCTGTTTTCCGGCTGTTTTTCCCGCTGTTTTTCCCACTTTCCCGTTGTTTTTCCAGCTGTTTTCCGGCTGTTTTTCCGGCTGTTTTCTGGCTGTTTTTCCCACTTTCCCGTTGTTTTCCGGCTGTTTTTCCCGCTGTTGTTTTCCAGCTGTTTTTCCGGCTGTTTTCCGGCTGTTTTCCCCACTTTCCTGTTGTTTTTCCGGCTGTTTTCCGTCTGTTTTCCGTCTGTTTTCCCCACTCTCCCGTTGTTTTTCCGGCTGTTTTCCGGCTGTTTTCCGGCTGTTTTCCGGCTGTTTTCCGGCTGTTTTCCGGCTGTTTTCCGGCTGTTTTCCGGCTGTTTTCCGGCTGTTTTCCGGCTGTTTTCCGGCTGTTTTCCGGCTGTTTTCCCCACTCTCCCATTGTTTTTCCCGTTGTTTTTCCAGCTGTTTTCCGTCTGTTTTCCGGCTGTTTTCCGGCCGTTTTTCCCCACTCTCCCGTTGTTTTTCCGGCTGTTTTCCGGCCGTTTTCCCCACTCTCCCGTTGTTTTTCCGGCTGTTTTCCGGCCGTTTTCCCCACTCTCCCGTTGTTTTTCCCGTTGTTTTTCCGGCTGTTTTCCGGCTGTTTTCCGGCGTTTTTCCCCACTCTCCCGTTGTTTTTCTGGCTGTTTTCCGGCTGTTTTTCCGGCTGTTTTTCCGGCCGTTTTCCCCACTCTCCCGTTGTTTTTCCGGCTGTTTTTCCCGCAGGGCGCCTCGGCGCTGTTCGACATGATCGAGTACTACGAGTCGGCCACGCACCTCAACATCGGCTCCAACAAACACCTGGGGCCCCGCGGCTGGCAGGCGGCCGCACACATGATGAGGAAGGTGAGAATTCCCGGAATTCCCGGAAAACGTTCCCGAAATTCCCAGATCTCCGTCGCATTCCCCAGTTTCCCCAGAAATCCCCAAATTCCCGGGGTTTTTTCCCCGAATTTTGGGCGTTTCCGAGGGGTTTTGTGCCCTGGGAGGGGCAGGCGGCCGCACGCGTGACGAGGAAGGTGAGAATTCCCGGAAAACATTCCCGAAATTCCCAAATTTCCATCAAATTCCCAAAAATCCCCGAATTCCCTGGGTTTTTCCCCAGATTTTCCCTGAATTTTTGGTGTTTCCGAGGGGTTTTGTGCCCTGGGAGGGACAGGAAGCTGAGGAAGGGGAGAATTCCCAAAATTCCCGGAAAACATTCCCGAAATTCCCGGGATTTCCATCAAATCCCCCCAAATCCCCCAAATTCCCACGGGTTTTCCCAGAATTCCGGGGAATTCCCGGCGTTCCTGAGGGTTTCGGTGCCTTTTCTTGGAGAATTCCCAAAATTCCCGGAATTCCGAGGAATTCCCGCGGTTCCCGGATTTTCCATCCCAGCTTTTCCCGAGTTTTTTCCCCAGGAAAGCTGGGAATTCTCCGGGTGTTGTGGCTGGGTGGTGATGAGGGGTTGGTTAATGAATTAATTAGGGGTTAATTAGGGGTTAATTAGGGGTTAATTAGGGAGGCCCCGCCCCCGGGGGTGGAGCCGTTTTCCCGGGGAAAAAAAAGGGGAGGAATCTCCCATGGAAAAGCTTTTCCTGGATTGGTTATCCCAAAAAAAAACCCGGATTATCCCAAAAAAAGATGGAATATCCCCAAAAATCCCTGATCATCCCAAAAATCGCCCGGATTATCCCGAAAAAAGGGCAGAATATTCCATGGAAAAGCTTTTCCTGGGTAAATTATCCCAAAAAAAACCCCAAATTATCCCAAAAAAATCCCTGGATTATCCCAAAAAAGAGTTGGAATGCCCCAAAAAAACTCTTTCATTATCCCAAAAAATCCTGATTATCCCAAAAAAGGATGGGATATTCCCAAAAAAAAACCCCCCAGATTATCCCAAAATCCCCTGGGTTATCCCCCAAAAAAAGCTTGGAATATCCCCAAAAAACCCCAGGGTTATCCCAAAAAACGGCAAATTATCCCAAAAAAAAGCTTGGAATATCCCAGAAAACCCCGGATTGTCCCAAAAAAATCCGGGATTATCCCAAAAAAACCATCGGGATCCCCCTGGGAAAAGCCTTTCCCGGGATAATCGTTCCCAAGCGTGGCCGGAAGGTTCGGCCTCGTTATCATCCCAATTATCCCAATTATCCCAATTATCCCAATTATCCCCGGGATTATCCCGCTTTTCCGGGCGCTCCCAATTCCTCCCCAACCCCCTCATTTCCCTCCGGCCGCTCCCGGCCTTCGGAATTCCGGAGGGTTTGGAATGCCGGGGGGAAGCCTTCGGGAATTCCGGCCCCGGAATTCCCGGCGTTCCCGGGGCCGGGTTTCGGATCCTCGGGAATCTCCGGGATTGGGGGAAATCCGGGAATTTTTTTAGGGGGGGGAAAGATTGGGATCGTCCAGCCCCGGGAATGAGGCCGAGTCCACTTGGGAAGAATTCCGAGGGGAAATCTTGGAATTCCTGGAGGTTTTCCCAGATTTCCTCGCTCCGGATCCCTGTCCCAAATCCCGAATTCCCGGATTTTGGGCACTCAGAACTCCAGACCCGTATTCCCGACCCCAAATTCCCATTTTTTCCCATTTCTTCTTCCTAAATTCCCATTTTTCTCTCCCAAATTCCCTTTTTTTTTTCCTGAATTCCCATTTTTTTACCCCAAATTCCCATTTTTTCACCCCAAATTCCCATTTTTTTCCCGTTTTTTCCCGTTTTTTTCCCCGAATTCCCATTTTTTCCCCGTTTTTCACCCGAATTCCCGTTTTTCCCCCCAGACCAGCTGCCTGCAGTACCTGGACACACTCAGAACCCCTCAATACTCGTATTCCCCATCCCAAATTCCCTTTTTTTTCCCGTTTTTTCCCATTTTTTTCCCGTTTTTTCCCGTTTTTTTCCCGTTTTTTCCCGTTTTTTTCCCGTTTTTTCCCGTTTTTTTTCCCCAAATTCCCATTTTTTCCCCGTTTTTCACCCAAATTCCCGTTTTTCCCCCCAGACCAGCTGCCTGCAGTACCTGGACACACTCAGAACCCCTCAATACTCGTATTCCCCATCCCAAATTCCCATTTTTTTCCCGTTTTTTCCCATTTTTTTCCCGTTTTTTCCCGTTTTTTTTCCCCGAATTCCCATTTTTTCCCCGTTTTTCACCCAAATTCCCGTTTTTCCCCCCAGACCAGCTGCCTGCAGTACCTGGACACACTCAGAACCCCTCAATACTCGTATTCCCCATCCCAAATTCCCATTTTTTTCCCGTTTTTTCCCATTTTTTTCCCGTTTTTTCCCGTTTTTTTTCCCCGAATTCCCATTTTTTTCCCGTTTTTCACCCAAATTCCCGTTTTTCCCCCCAGACCAGCTGCCTGCAGTACCTGGACACACTCAGAACCCCTCAATACTCGTATTCCCCATCCCAAATTCCCATTTTTTCACCCCAAATCCCCATTTTTTTCCCGTTTTTTCCCATTTTTTTCCCGTTTTTTCCCGTTTTTTTTCCCAAATTCCCATTTTTTCCCCGTTTTTCACCCAAATTCCCGTTTTTCCCCCCAGACCAGCTGCCTGCAGTACCTGGACACACTCAGAACCCCTCAATACTCGTATTCCCCATCCCAAATTCCCATTTTTTTCCCGTTTTTTCCCATTTTTTTCCCCCAAATCCCCATTTTTTTTCCCAAATTCCCATTTTTTCCCCGTTTTTCACCCAAATTCCCGTTTTTCCCCCCAGACCAGCTGCCTGCAGTACCTGGACGCCCGGGGGACGCCGCTGCTGGAGGCGTCGGCGCCGTTCGTGGCGCGGGCTCTGCGCATCAGCAGCAGCCTGGTGGTTCTGCACCTGGAGAACGCCGGCCTGGCCGGGAGACCCCTCATGCTGCTGGGTCAGAGAATTCCCGAAAAAAAAAACATTCCCGGGATTCTCGGGATTCCCAAAATTCCCCCCCACCACCCCCCCGGCCGGGAGGGGTCGGGATTTCGGGAATTCCCCCCAGAGGGGGGGGAGGGGAGGGGTGGTTTGGGGAGGAAAGGGTTAAAGGGGTTTGGGGTGGGGGAGGGGAGGATTCCAGCTGGGAATTCCAGGTGGGAATTCCGGTGGAG